GTTGTGTTTGGGAAATAGACGGAAATAGAGTGCTGCCAGCATTGCTGCAGATTTTGAAGGGGTGGGGGGTCAGCCTGTCAGTGCTCAGACCATACGCCGCACACTGCATCAAATTGGTCTGCATGGCGTCCCAGAAGGAAGCCTCTTCTAAAGATGATGCACAAGAAAGCCCGCAAACAGTTTGCTGAAGACAAGCAGACTAAGGACATGGATTACTGGAACCATGTCCTGTGGTCTGATGAGACCAAGATAAACTTATTTGGTTCAGATGGTGTCAAGCGTGTGTGGCAGCAACCAGGTGAGGAGTACAAAGACAAGTGTCTTGCCAACAGTCAAGCATGGTGGTGGGAGTGTCATGGTCTGGGGCTGCATGAGTGCTGCCGGCACTGGGGAGCTACAGTTCATTGAGGGAACCATGAATGCCAACATGTACTGTGACATACTGAAGCAGAGCATGATCCCCTCCCTTTCGGATACTGGGTCGCAGGGCAGTATTCCAACATGATAACAACCCCAAACACACCTCCAATGCTGGAAAATAATGGTGGCCACACAAAATATTGACACTCTGGGCCCAATTTGGAAATTTTCACTTAGGGGTGTACTCACTTTTGTGGCCAGCGGTTTAGACATTAATGGCTGTGTGTTGAGTTATTTTGAGGAGACAGCAAATTTACACTGTTATACAAGCTGTGCACTCACTACTTTACATTGTAGCAAAGTGTAATTTCTTCAGTGTTGTCACATGAAAAGATATAATAAAATATTTACAAAAATGTGAGGGGGTGTGCTCACTTCTGTGAGATACTGTAAGTAACTCAGTAGCTTTGGCATACTTCTTCATAAATCAAAATTTAAAAACCGTTAATAAAATAAATATAACTAGCTATAAAGATTTTTGCCAGAATAATTATATAGTTTACAGTATATTCATTATCTTTATTCTGCATGATAATGATTATTTTCCAACATATACACTTCAATAAGTTTTAATCCTCTCAAAAATGTCATTCAGTTGAATAGTAACTATTAAAAGACTTTTTGAACAAAACGCTAAAGTTTTAAGTGATAAATAATGAGAACTTACATTTTTGCAAATGTACCGTCCAGTACTGATGCAAAGCGGCCTGCTGTTGCTATGGTAACATCTGTATTGGGTGCATATTCGGTTTGTTTTGCCACTAGGTGAAAATATGATCTTGCCATTTAACTTTTTGTCATTGTGAAATGTTGTTTGTTTCAGTTAAACAGCCTCAATCTATTGTTTTGACGTCCTTTAGGTGCGTTCGACTCTTAAATAGCAGGTCAGACTCCTGTAATACACAGAACTCCTGCAAACTCCAGGAATCAGTCTGCGCACGTGGCTTTGCTGAGTCAGACGTTTTTCTGGCACTTTTACTGCGTCCGCTCGGTGCCATGGGCAGAACCTGGTTGCCATGACGACCTGTTCCTTTTTTTGTGTGTGCTGTGACATCGTGGTTACCCCCGACAACCGTTCTAGAGCAACAGCCATCACAACGGTGCTGACGTGGTAAACCAGAGATCAGCAGAATGTTGTGTTTAATGGCAGGAGCTTTAATGAACTAAGGTGAATCATTCTGACTTGGGCGAGTACATAACCACCTAGTGACCACCCTAGTAACACACTAGCATTATGGCGGTGAGTTTTGCACTGGTAAACACTATTCCCGTTTTCTTCGGAGAATGTAAAAATGTAGTTTTTGTGTAGAGTTTGCATTTCTCTGCATGTTTGATTGCCCATTTCTCTCTCTGTCTTTGTTCTGTTCATACTTATGAAGGAATATCTCCACCCATCTGCAGATGATCTACCTATCAGTGTCACATCTCCTAGCAACAGCTCTTTAAAAAACTAAATATAACACTTGGTAAGGTGTCGCACCAGAGCCATGTGTATGAGCGCGTGTACATGCATATGGTACAGGTGTGTGTTGCAGTGTATTGTTTCCATACAGATCCAGCTGTATCCTTGGGCATTTGTGTGCTGTAACTCTATCTGATGTGCTTTCTGATGCCAAAGAAAAGTCCAGCTCACATTTCAGCACAAAATCAAGAGTATTACGAATATTAAACTGATCTCATTTTCATGAAAATTAAACATACTTTTTAACCTAAATGAACATTACTGTAATGCATCCTGAAATGTAACCTTTGCTTGTTTTTGTGTTTCAGTGTCATGAAAATGAATCATGTCCAACAAATGGCCCTATATGAGCATAATTTTCTTGCAAAATATATTTTCTTATTGAGAAATGTGACCAAAACATCTTGACCAGTTTGGTGAGATTCAGCTGTAGAGATTTTCTGAATTAATACATGGGCTACTGAAGTGTGTGTATGTGTGTGTAAATATATAAAATAAAAACAACCAATGAAACACCTTTTTTTCATAATCCAGTTAAAGTTTGGGTTTACTCAAAGTTTTGCCCTGTTTTATTATTTTGATAGCTAAGTGGCAGTGTTTGTGATCTGTGTTTGATCTTCGGCATTTAATGACAAACCTTTAAATGAAACAGGAGTTTTGGAATGATTCTTGATTGAACAGCTTGTGTTTAGTCGGTGCCTGTGGCATTGTTCTGTTCCAAAACTACTTTCTGTTTCTGGTGGAATGCTATTTTGGGACTTGAAATAACATTTGGGTTTGCAGAGTGAAAATCTTTATTTCACCAAGTCTTACGTCAGTCAGGAGGGACCATGAATATTTGATGATGCAAAGCTAAACATTTGGTCTCGGCTTATAAAAAAAGCTTGACATTTGCCTTCACGGTTGTGATAGCGACTGTTAAATCATCATTACCCAAACAGATGGCCGTACCTGCCGCTTCTCAGAGCTTAAACCTAGTCCTCGGAGAGCAGCGCTACAACTGTCCTGTCAATGAGAGATTATTTATCTGTGCGGGACTCATCCTGCAGTGAGTTGCTGTAGTCCTGCGGGGCAGGCTGTCTGTCTGTATGTCATTGACAGAGGCCCGCAGGGACCACATCTTCCAGCATGCTGCTCTCCAGGGACGGGGCTCGTGTGACAGCCCTGCCTCCGGCACTTGAAGAGACACTGAGAACTCCTCAGCATGATAGATAGCGACAGCTGAGAGCATGTGAGAGAGATGCAACTTTCTTCACTATAACATATAACCTGTATTATTTTCTGTATTATTTAGCGTTTGTTCATGATCTGCTCTGAGATCAGTGCTGGGTCATCGTGGGTTACCACTGTTTGACTCTCTGAGAGGCAGAACTAAGGTTGATGATCAACTGAAATAGCCTAGTAGATTGTTTTTGTGGGTCTCATTTAATTTTAAAGGGTTTGTTCACTCAAGATTGAAAATTCTGTCATCATTTACTCACCCACATGTCATTCGAACCGATTTTCTCTTCCGTGGAGCATAAAAGGGGATCTGCTCTTTTTCATACAATGAAAGTGAATGTGGAATAAAGTTGTTGTTCTGCAAAAATGTAAAAAAAAATAGTCCAAATTACAATACCGTTTATATATACGGTTAGGCCTGGGCGATAAAACGGTATCGATATTTATCAACAATACACCTTCTTTGATATCATCAGTGGCGTGCGAGATGTGTTGATGATGTTAGTGATGTTGTTGCATTTTAATGTATTGTTAGTCTAGCCCACGAGACGCGCCGCTGCTGCGTTATTCATTCAGAATATTAGAGAAATATAGAAGCTCAATGCGGAGAAGATCTTGAATGGGTTAAAACCGAAACCAAGCCATTCACACCGAACGGATATTCAGTGCATTTTTTAGACGGACAAAATGACTGCTGCACTCGCGTCTCACAGAAGAGATGTATAGAAAGCCGTGCAAAGTTAAAACGGTTTAAAATTTTAGAAAACACGTCACGGATTTGTGGAGGTTTATTCCTTTTCACTGCGTCTCATATGTTTTTAAATGCAGTCTGTGTGAATGGCGCTTCGGCTCTTTGGATTAAGCAATGCATAAATACATGATACTGTTTTGTTCATAATTGTTTATGCAATTTATGAAATTATATTTGATTTTTATTAGTTAATTTAGACGTAATGCACGTTTTTATAGAGTTAATTCCTTGCGTTGGCAATTTAAATGCGCTGCATTATTTTGCTCATTGCGCCCTCCTGTGGCCTCGGGAGACAATTAGACATATACAATAAAGACCTATTCAATCTGCATATAAAACATTAGAAATTAGATATTTATATATATATATATATATATATATATATATATATATATTAATGATTTTGAAATTATAATGAGTGGATTTATTCATTTAATTTTGAGTTAACTGTTGCTTTCAGTAGGTTATTTTCTACACATTTTATGTATTTATTTTATTTTATTGTTTAAATACTATATATATATAAATATATACTTTTTTTTTTACAGTTCTTCTACAGACTTCTTATTTAATTCGCATCCAAAATATTGGAAGTATTCTTTTCCTGAAGTGATGCTTCATTTTTCTGAATCACACTGTAATCACAAAAGCAAAACTTAATATAGAAGAAGTGTTTGATATTTGATGGTATTGGTTTTTCAGTGCCTGCATGCTCATTCCTTTAAATGCTGGGAGTTTTGCACTATGTTTAGCATTTCAAGCTGTTTTGGTTCATGCATAGTGGTAGAGTTCATTTTGTTTTTAATGAATCAGACAGTGTGTAATGAGTGCTCTGTGTATATTCATATTTGATGGCTTTACGAACCGTTTGAAGGCAAAGTGGTATAGTTTTGAATAGAGAGTTTGTCCTTGAAGATTTTTTAAGAAATGTGTTACAGGATTCAGTAAATGAGCTTGTGTTTGTGATGTTATGACTGAATGACTTCTAATTGCGGTTTAGTTTCATTAAATGTTCTGGGTGAGCTGGAGAGTTTTGCGTTGCAGATATAAAGCGTGTCTACACAGTGTTTCAAAAGAGAAGACTCCTTTAGCTTCTCTCATGCTTTGGGCTGAACTTCTCCTGTCTCTCTCTCTGTTTGTCTGCAGATGTTGTGGTTAATGGTGAGCCGTGTGACTGTGACGTGGTCGCTGACTGCAGGGTCGGAGACGCTGTGCCATTAGAGGTAAAACTGACCAACCGCAGCAAGAGCGCTGTCGGGCCGTTCTCTCTGACCGTCGTTCCCTTCCAAGACTATCAGAACGGAGTCCAAAACTACGACCTGCAGGATGCCGTCACTTTCATTGGCTCCAACACCTTCTACATCGGCACGGTGAGCCAATGACGCACAGCAGCAGGACTCCGTCTGAGCCGGGTCACGTCCTCAACTAACTCTCAATCACAGTCAAGGTGTTGAAGACCCACTTACATACAAGGCTCTTTCAACAGAAATCCAAATTTAGCTTCCCCCAATCATTTTGTGTCCGTTCTAAGACTCTTTGGGTGTTTTCACATTATTGTGTTTCTTTCGTGAGAGGTTTCCAAGACGTTTGGCTTATACACTAACACTCTAATAATACACTATTTAAACACATCTACTTAGTCTTTATTAGTGTTCTTTTCCACATTGGAGTAAAGTCATCATAACTATGAAAAAAGAATAGGAGCTATGTAAAGACCAGAAATGTTAAACAAATGAAAATTCATATTTTTCTTTAAAGCATAACATAGTTGACCTTTAGATGAAAATATTGTTTTCAAGAGATAAATTAATAAATTGTCACCTGTGTCCAATCTTTTAACTGGTGTGAAATTTTGACAGAAATATCAATATACATGTAGTGTTGCATAATATTTTTGTAATATTTCTAATACTTAATATGTGTTACTACTACTACTGCTACTATTACAAGTAGTAGTAGTTGTAGTAGTAATAATCTATTAAATGAACATTTATATATATTTTTAGTAATTTATTTATTTGTACAAACAAAATAATTACAAATATTAAATCATAAGCCTTTAATTAAAAATGTTTTTAAGATAATGTGAAGCATAAATTCAGTTCCTTGTACCCAAAATTTTACCTTGTAGTGTATGTGAAATTATGACAGAAATATATAAATGCATAATATACAGTGGTGTGAAAAAGTTTTTGCCCCCTTCCTGTTTTTTTAATTGTTTGCATATTTGTCACACTTAAAAGATTCAGATCATCAAACCAATTTTAATATTACGCAAATATAATGCAAGTAAATACAAAATGCAGTTTTTAAATGATAATTTCATTTATTAAGGGAAAAAAGCTGTCCAAACCTACGTGGCCCTACGTGAAAAATGATTTGCCCCTTCCTCTTAAATCATGAAAGAACTGTGATTAACCACATCATTTTAGAAAGCTGAGTTAAATTTCACTAGCCACACGCAGGCCTGATTACTGCCAGACCTGTTGAATCAAGAAATCACTTAAATAGAAGCTGTCTGACAAAGTGAAGCATGCTTAAAGAGCAACACATATGCTCGAAAACCCTCCAATGTGGCTGAATGAAAACAATTCTGCAAAGAAGAGTGGGCCAAAATTCCTGTGAAAGACTCATTGCCATTTATCGCAAACACTTGATTGCAGTTGTTGCTGCAAAGCGTGGCACAACCAGTTATTAGATTTCGGGGGCAATTACTTTTTCACGTAGTGCCAGGCAGGTTTGGACAGCTTTTTTCCCTTAATAAATGAAATCATAATTTCAAAACTGCAGTTTGTATTTACTCAGGTTATCTTTGTGTAATATAAAAATTTGTTTGATGATCTGAATCTTTTAAGTGTGACAAATATGCAAACAATTAAAAAAACAGGAAGGGGGCAAAAACTTTTTCACACCACTGTATATAATACTGCATGACAGTTTTCTAATATGTACATGTAATTTTGTATTTTAATTAGTATTACCACTATTAATAATAATAATCAATTACATTGAATTAAATCAAAATGTACATGCAATTTTAATTATTGATTTATTTGTACAAACAATAATTACAAGCATTAAATCATAAACCTTTAGATTAAAAATGTTTTTAAGATAATGAGAAGCAGAAATTCAGTTATAAGTGTATGAACTTTTAACTGCTAGCTTATGTGAAACTGTCAAATATATTTTTTTATGATACTACTGATATTATTATTATTATAAAAACGAGGTAGATTGAATCACTAAAATGGAGCAAAGTGAGATCTATGCCCATATTAAGACCAGACACAATTAATTTTCTTTCACTCTGTTCAGTTTTTGGTCCACATGCAGCGGTATAAGTTTGTCTCTTTTAAAGAGGATGGACTGTCTTTGCTTCTGACCACCGCAGGACATGTGTGTGCAGAGTGTGTAGGTTGAAGCGCTGAAGTCAGCAGGTGTTTGAGGTGTGTGATGTTCTCGTCTGCAGGTGAACCCTACAGAGAACTCAGTGTGTGTGGGAGCCCTGCTCTTCTTATACACTGGGGATTTCTATCTGAACATCAAGTTTCAAGATGACAGCACAGCCCGCGACCTGCCGCCCGCCTGGTTCTGTCTGCCCAGCGTCCACATCAGAGCCCAGGAGCCAATCGAAGCAGCCGCCTGAGCTTCTGACCTCACAGACTCAGTAGGCCTTTGTAAAGGACCTGGGAGAGATCTGCTGTTTTTCAGACGACTACTGAGCTAATCTACATATTTATATTGAGTCTAGAGCAAGTGCACTTCTAGTGTATGAAGCTTTTAGAGTTTGAAGATGTTTCAGTTTATGCCAAATCCTCCACTTTCCGATCCATTCTGAAGACCTCATTCTCCTCTTTAGAGAAAGACAAAAGGATGAAGAACATCTTTCAGGTAACCACTAAGTGAAAACATCTGAGGTCTTACAATTTAGTCCTGATGAAACTAACTGATGAAAATGTCTCCAGCTCATATTTCATCCCCCAAAGAAAGGAAAATTTGATTTAGTTGAAGCCTTTAGTCGATTTTTTTTTTTTAAATGACAAATAAGAACTTTTTTGTCTTAAGTCTCATTACTGTAATGTGTTTGATCTTTTTTCTATTAGGTTGTTTTGTAATTCTCATAATTGTAAATGTTGATTCTCAGAATTATATTACTGCAATACTGCAATATTTTTGTTATTTTGCAATAATATGTATAACAATAATTTGACTACAGTATTTTAAAAAAAAATTATTATATTGAAATAAAATTATAAAATATAGTGATCATAGATCAAATTTAAATTTGATTGGATTTTTTTGCATTGTAGTAATGAGGGTTGGAGGGGAACTGTTTTGAACAGTCTGAATTCTAAAATAATTCTTAGTTCTCAAAAAAAATTGTAATTGGATAAAAACAGGCCTTTAAATAAAAAAATAAATAAAGATTTACCTGTCATCTTTTGATTTTGGGCTGAAATATGGCCTGGATATGTTCTCGGCAGGTTTTGTAGGGGTTTGCCTTAATAATGCATGTAAATATGGTTTACACACTTATCACAAAATTTTCATATAGAAATGCATACAGCTTTTAGCACATTTGGATCAGTTTTTTTGGGGGTTGATGCATAAATGGTTTCGTGACAGCGTGTGGGAACCACGAATTGGATTCACATTTATGTAATTATGAAACTGGTCTAGTCTCTTTAATGTGTTTGCTTATGAATCTGATGTCCAATCAGCTGATGATTTTAATCTATTTATGAATCTAAGCTAAAGATTGGTATGTTGACTTCACTTGACTTTGCAGTTATACAAATTAGATCAAATGTTGATTAAATGTTAATTAAAAACTCAAAATATAGTGGTTTGAAGAGTTTTTCAGCACTTTAGAATTCATTTCTTAAGTGTGTTTCAGACCTGCTCTAAAATACAAAAAAGCACCCAGACTTAAGAATGAACTTGAGCACAACAGGATATGAGTATGTGCTGGTTTTCACCTCATAGTGTTCTAGGAACTGAGGTCATTTTTCTGAGGTGAGCTTTCTAGCAACCGATGATTGCTGGAAATGTGATATTAATGCTTTTATTGTGGTGCATTGTGGTCTACATTATGTGCTGAAATGGTAAGTGATTGCAGTTGCAGTAATTCAATTAGCAGTAAACGTCCACTCAGGGATTCCAGCGCTGAGATAGTCTCAAAGTCTCGAAATCTCAGAATCATTAACAGAAGAGGTCATTTGCTTTTAAAATGATTCATCCGAAGGTTCAGATAATATTACATTGGCCGTTTATGTAGAATATTTAGGTTACAGTAGGAATAATATCAATTTACTCAAAAAATCAATACATAAATTAGGTTTTGATTGCATTGTCATGAAAAACTGAAGTTGACCGTATATTTTACAGTATATATTAAAAGTAATTTAAACCATCATTAATGAGATGCCACTTTTGGAGCAGAAACTCAGTGTCTTATAGTGTATAAATTACAGTAAATAATGAGTTATTTAATTGATTATGATAATCAGCAATACAATAATGAAATAACATTTAATATTTAGAAATATCAGTATATTATGACAGTATTTAGAACTATAATTGATTATATTATTTGGTATTTACAGTGGGGAAAAAAAGTATTTAGTCAGCCACCAATTGTGCAAGTTCTCCCACTTAAAAAGATGAGAGAGGCCTGTAATTTTCATCATAGGTATACCTCAACTATGAGAGACAAAATGAGGAAAAAAAATCCAGAAAATCACATTGTAGGATTTTTAAAGAATTTATTTGCAAATTATAGTGGAAAATAAGTATTTGGTCAATAACAAAATTTCATCTCAATACTTTGTTATATACCCTTTGTTGGCAATGACAGAGGTCAAACGTATTCTGTAAGTCTTCACAAGGTTTTCACACACTGTTGCTGGTATTTTGGCCCATTCCTCCATGCAGATCTCCTCTAGAGCAGTAATGTTTTGGGGCTGTCGCTGGGCAACACGGATTTTCAACTCCCTCCAAAGATTTTCTATGGGGTTGAGATCTGGAGACTGGCTAGGCCACTCCAGGACCTTGAAATGCTTCTCACGAAGCCACTCCTTCGTTGCCCGGGCAGTGTGTTTGGGATCATTGTCATGCTGAAAGACCCAGCCACGTTTCATCTTCAATGCCCTTGCTGATGGAAGGAGGTTTTCACTCAAAATCTCACGATACATGGCCCCATTCATTCTTTCGTTTACACGGATCAGTCATCCTGGTCCCTTTACAGAAAAACAGCCCCAAAGCATGATATTTCCACCCCCATGCTTCACAGTAGGTATGGTATTCTTTGGATGCAACTCAGCATTCTTTCTCCTCAAGTTGAGTTTTTACCAAAAAGTTATATTTTGGTTTCATCTGACCATATGACATTCTCCCAATCCTCTTCTGGATCATCCAAATGCTCTCTAGCAAACTTCAAACGGGCCTGGACATGTACTGGCTTAAGCAGGGGGACACATCTGGCACTGCAGGATTTGAGTCCCTGGCAGCGCAGTGTGTTACTGATGGTAGCATTTGTTACTTTGGTCCCAGCTCTCTGCAGGTCATCACTAGGTCCCCCCGTGTGGTTCTGGGATTTCTGCTCACAGTTCTTGTGATCATTTTGACCCCACGGGGTGAGATCTTGCGTGGAGCCCCAGATCGAGGGAGATTATCAGTGGTCTTGTATGTCTTCCATTTTCTAATAATTGCTCCCACAGTTGATTTCTTCACACCAAGCTGCTAACCTATTGCAGATTCAGTCTTCCCAGCCTGGTGCAGGTCTACAATTTTGTTTCTGGTGTCCTTTGACAGCTCTTTGGTCTTGGCCATGGTGGAGTTTGGAGTGTGACTGTTTGAGGTTGTGGACAGGTGTCTTTTATACTGACAACGAGTTCAAACAGATGCCATTAATACAGGTAACCAGTGGAGGACAGAGGAGCCTCTTAAAGAAGAAGTTACAGGTCTGTGAGAGCCAGAAATCTTGCTTGTTTGTAGGTGACCAAATACTTATTTTACCGAGGAATTTACCAATTAATTCTTTAAAAATCCTACAATGTGATTTTCTAGATTTTTTTTCTCTCATTTTGTCTCTCATAGTTGAGGTATACATATGATGAACAAGCCACTCTCATCTTTTTAAGTGGGAGAACTTGCACAATTGGTGGCTGACTAAATACTTTTTTGCCCCACTGTATATACAGTGATTTTGACTTGTAAAGTTTAAAAAAGTCCTTAGTCTTTCCTCATACAAAGATAATTATATCAAATTATACAACATATTAACATACATCTTGGGAAAAAATGAAAAGTAAATTAAGAAGATTATTGATTCCAGACACTGCATTTAATTTCAAATGGAAATATATATATATATAATTGTGAATTCTACAGGCATCGGAAATTAAATGCAATTTCTACAATCAATAATCTTCTTAATTTAGTGTTTATTTTTTCTTCCTCAGTGGTAGCATGTTTGTTTAATATGTTGTATAATCTGATACCATTATCTTTGCATGAGGAACTTTTTTTTAATACATAAATTAATTTTAATTATTAATAAACATAAAATAATAAAATAAGGTTTCATATTTTTTACAGACCTTTACCTAATTTTGTTTAAAACTTCCAAATGTTCAGATAAGATGAACTGCTGGAGACAATCAGCAGTGATCAAAGAGAAATGAATCATTTTAATGACACTTTAAACTTTTCAGATTTATCTCAATTAGCATGAGTTAATGAGCCGAGATGCTTAAACACACACAAGCTCTGAATGATGAACCCAACAAACTCAGAATATTGAGTTTTTACGGCCCAGACCTCACAACTTCAATTACCACTGTGCGTGTGTGTGTGTGTGCATGTTTATGTGGTTTATGAGGACACAAATTTTTATAATAACATGGGTATGACGTAGGTATTACAACGAGAAGGTGATTTATGAGGACATTTTCAGTGTCCCCGTAATTCAAAAGGCTTATAAATAATTCAGAATGAGTTTTTTTGAAAATCTAAAAATGCAGAAAGTTTCCTGTGAGGGGTAGGTTTAGGGGTAGGGTTGGTGTAGGGCAATAGAATATACGGTTTGTACAGTATAAAAACCATTACGCCTATGGAGAGTCCCCATAAACCATAAAAACAAACCTGTGTGTGTGTGTGTCCTTCATGTTCCGTCATGAATGAGATTATCTCAGCACAGGTTTCCTGACGTTCACTTTGATCTGCTCTGTCGCCACAGGATGGAAAAATTCAGGGGCTTCATCAAACACACACACACACACGAAATAGTGAAAATGCAGAATACGGTTTTTCTTAATCTTCTCAAGGAGACGAACCTCTACTAATGCTGTCGTACTGTTCCTCCTGAACCTACAGCACATCCAAAGGTGTCACCGCTGACCTATGACATCATCCATTTGACCTTGAGTTCAGTCTTAGGTCATTTGCATGCTCTATTCAAGCCTGAAAGTGACCATAGAAGAAGTGTGTTTAATGCTAATGTCAGCAATAGTGCCCCTTTTGGCAGTTCTACGAATGCAACATGTAAATCAAGCTTAAAGGGATAGTTCACCCAAAAATGAAAATTCTGTCATTAATCATTGAATAAAGTCGTTACTTTTGTTTTCTTTGTGCACAAAAAAGTATTCTCGTAGCTTCATAACATTACGGTTGAACCACTGATGTCACATGGATTTTTTTAACGATGTCCTTACTACCTTTCTGGGCCTTGAATGTGATAGTTGTATTGCTGTCTATGCAGGTCCAGAAAGCTCTCGAATTTCATCTAAAATATCTTCATTTGTGTTCCAAAGATGAACGAAGGTCTTACGGGTTTGGAACGACATGAGGGTGTGTAATTAATGACAGAATTAAAATTTTTGGGTGAACTATCCCTTTAAATACAATCGTTTGTGTTCATGTGTTTGTATGCATTTCTGTACATTACATAAAAAATTCACCATAAAATCAGTTTGTAGGCTTTTCATGTAGCTAAAGCAAAGACAA